AGTAAGAGTGGGTTCCTAATTTTAGGGGAAGAATTAATATTGTACCATGAAATGTGATTTTTTTTCATAGATGGCCTTCTCAGATTGAGATTTATTATTTTTTATTTCTAATTTGCTGAATGTGTTTTATTGTGAATGAGTTATTGGTTGAATGCTTTTTCTTTGTCTGTTGTTTTCATCATACATCATGTGTTGAATTACCTTAATTTTACAGTATTAAACTAACTGGGTTAAACTCCAAATCGGTCCATTACTTATTATTATCTTTTTAACATATTGCTAAATACAATTTACTAAAACTGGGACCAGCAAGCAGCATAATGGTTACATCACTGGACTCCCATGTAGTCCCAGACCCGGTGGCTTAAACTCACACTGGGCGCATGTGCATGCATGCCCAAGATCTCAAAAGGAGAATGGAGGAGAAGGGATTGCAGCATGGTCATCCTTCCAGAGGGGTGATTTCTAGCTTTCTATCTCTCTGTCTCTCTCTATCTTTATGGCAAGTGCACATGCCCTATAATAAAAACCTCTCTTAAAAATAAATAAATAAAATAAAAATAAATTAGTACAATTTACTAAAATGTTGGTAAGTTTTTTTGCATCTATATCAGTAAGGGATATACGTTTATTGTTCTCTAGTCTTTGTCAGGTTTGGTATTTGGGTAATGCTGGCGTTGTATATCCAGTTGGGCATGATCATGAGAATGTTTTGTGTGAATAAGAATCAGAAACAGAAAGGAAGTCACATGTTAAACTGCAAGATGAAAACCAATTAATAGTTTTATGCCCCCTGTGCCAGGATCCACATTCTGGAATTTATCCCAGGCTCTGAAATAATAGTGAGGAAAAGGTACTCTGTCAATGGTTATATATCAGTAAAAATGGAATCAGCAGAAAATGAGGCTAAGTCCCATACATTGCTAAATGAAATAAGCTTCGAGCAGTTGGCTTGGACATAAAATGGTTTGCCTTGTTCTGACATTGTACAAAGATTTTCCTTTAAAATATTGCTTTTCTTATTTGATGACATTAAGAAGAAAATTTTAACTTACAGATAAATAATTTTTATTCTAATTGCTAGAGAGTGTGTGGACTCACCAGACAGAGAGGGAGAGGGAGAAAGCACCCCCGATGGGGCATGTTCATGCCTCAGTACCTTCTCCATTTCTCCATCCTGCCATGCGTATGCACCCAGTGTGTTTTCAAGCTGCTGGGACCAGGATTTAAGCCACAATTGGGATTTGGCTCCATTAACCACCAAGCTGCATGACCAGACCAATAGCTTATATAGTTTTAAGAACTTTAGCAAGTCAACTCATATTATTGTAACAAAGAAGGCATACATGAGGCCCCCTTTTTTTTAAGTTTATGTAGAACCTTCAGAGAGAAAGAAATTTCCTGGATGTCATGTGTTGACTTTTATTGTTTTTATTATGTTATTTGAAATTTATAAACGTAAAACTATAGGATGTATCATTTGCTTCTTTACACTCTAAAAACAATGGACACATAAATTAAGCTGGAAATTAAGTAGGAAAATAATGAAATGCAAGTTAGTAACATTAATTTAATGCAAGGGATGATATTGTTTTGCTGAAACTAAATTAGTGCTTATGATCTGAATGTAATGTTCTGTTTCAGCATGGGTTCTTTCAAGTTTGGCAGGCTTACATTATTGGATGCTGTGCGATGACTTAATTCTTCTGCCATTTTTCTCTACTTGAACTTACATGAACTGTTTGTTCATATATCACTGGCTACATCATTTAGGTATTAATCCACCTCGGTGCCTCTGTTCTTTCCCTTTTAGCTGAGGTCATAAAGTACCATTTGACACCAAATGCAAATGTAAATGCAGGCAGCAAACTTGTGTACCAATAGCCAGACTTGAGAGCCTAATCCAGATGATCCAGAATATAGTCATATTAATTTATTTTAGATTATCATCAAAAAATACATAATTTTGAAATCTAGGCAGCTGTAGACCTTCGGGAGTATAAATCACTGGCCTTGGGTCCAACAGCACAGCCTTACAAGTCTCAAAAGAGAAGAAGGCTGAAAGTGTCACCAAGGCCTGGAAGCCTGGATGGCCATGTCAGGGCACATGGCGAATATTTCACTCCTTGTGCTCTGAGAAACCTGTCCTGAATGGGAAAACAGAAGAGCCAGAGTAAAGCAGACTTTGGGAAGAGCACGCTGGAGGAGAGTACCAGATGTGCTTGTTAAACCAGCAGGGATGGCTGGGCCACTGTTAGCTTCCGGTACTGCTCACCCAAGAAAGGCTGACTGTCCTGTTTATTACCTCCTATGTTAAATTTGTTGGACTCGGATGTCACAGGTAGAAATATGAGCCTGGGGCACAGTTAACACAGCTCATGTTACCAAAGTATAATGTGATTTCAGATTTTTTTTTTTTGAACGATAGTGCATGTGCGCAAGAGAGGAGGGGCAAGACAAGCACCCTCAACAGGGTCACCTCATACCAACACCCTATTTCTGCAGCCCTCCAGCTCTTCAGGTTCTTGAGAGCTCTCTCACGTACCCCTCATGTTTTCAGGCCAACCTGAGGATCTGATCCATGGTTGGCCATGTGGCTTCCAGCTCTGTATACCCGTGTGCTGCAGACTGTGCACCTGGCTGGACCTGTACTGGATTTTCTTAAAGAAGATGCATCTTCAGGAGAACAGGGAGAGCTTTCCTTTTCCTGAAATGTTGGACTTGCTCTGTGTGCTTTTCGGTTATTCATTTTTTTCCTAGAGATTTTTGTCATAGAGCGGGAGAGCATACTGGAGAAAGAGAGAGAGAAAGAGAGAGAGACAGAGACAGAGGCAGTGAGAGGAAAAGTGAGAAATCATCCCCTGGGGGCATGGCCGCACCACTATCCCTTCTTCTCTGTTCTCCTTCTGGGATCGTGGGCACACATGCACATGTGCCCTGCATGGTTTTCAAGCCACTGGGTCCAGGACTTGAACCACGTTTGGCCATGTGAGAGTCCAGCGATGTAATCACTACACTGTTTGCTGGCCCCTGGTTATTCATTATTTTTTAAAAAACCTCTGGAAAATTATAGTAAAACATTCAACATACAATCTACTCCCAACACATTTTTAACTGTACAATATAATACTGATAGCTGTAAGCACAAGCCTAGAAGAGCTTTAGAATGTATTCACCTTATTTAACATACCCATTTTTCTCTTCCCCGTCAAGCTCTTTTTAAAAAAATTTTTTTTGGAGAGCTTTAGGACACGTGTACTTGCCAGAAAGAGAGAGACAGAGAGACAGAAAATGAGAAATCACCCCCCAGGGGGGATGGCCACGGCACAATCCCTTCTCCTCCATTCTCCTCTCGGGATCTTGGGCACGCACGCACACGAGCCCGGTGTGAGTTTAAGCCACCAGGTCTGAGACTCGAACCGCAGTCGACTACATGGAAGTTCAGTGACATAGCCATTATGCCAACTGCTGGTCTCCCCAAGCTCTTAGTAACCATAATTCCACTCTCTGCTTCTATGAGTTTGAGCATTTTAGATTCCTCTTACACATAGAATCCTGCATTATTTGTCCTTTTGTGACAGGCTTATTGCACTTCTGTAATACCCTCAGGGTTTATCCATGTCATCATTGATTGCAAGATTCTCTCTTTTTTTTAAGGCTAAATAATATTCCATATGCCCTTCAGATATGCAGCAAAGCACTGCCCTTTCAGTCCCCTGCAACCTGCCTGATGGGCCTTCTCTCCTGTCTTCTCTAACCCTTTGTAATTTCCCAAATGTCTTACTGGCCTCTCTTGACTGGAAACATATAAGCAGAATGAAAGGGCATCATGGAATCCACACAGGGACTGAGGTCTGAGTAGGAACTTGCTGGGGCATCCATATCTCATCCCACAATTGTGTGATGCATGTCTGCCGTCTCCCAACTCTCCCCAGGTTACTGCTACCCTAATCATCAGTCTTCAGTGACCCACGCTATCAACTGGCTCTAGAAAGTTTTTCCATCACTTTACCTTCCCCTACAGATGTAACCTCTCTAATGGGGACATGACTTAAAGCCCCTATCCATTCATTTTGTAACTTTGTCTATTGAGTTTGGCCCTGGCCAGCCTGGCTGCCGTTCCGTGACCCTGCCTCCATCATGCTGTCACTCCAGACAGCACAGGAGTAGTCCCACTCATTTCTCTGGCAGCACAAACCCAAAGGGCTTGGGCAGAAAGCAGCATATGTTTTTAAAGATTCCAAAAGCCCATGGTTTGTAAGCACGTTGGAATTCTATCTAGAATACTAGCTGGATTTTTCTAATCTGAAACCTCAGTATTCATAGAGCCCACATGTTGTATGTGGCGAGTGATGTGATAATTGAGGTTTGCCCATTTTTATATGATTTATCCTGGTTTTCTTCCAATGGCCTGTGAGCTAAAACTTAAATACAGCTTCGTTGTAGTTGCTTCTTCCTGTTTAGAGAGCCTGGCATAATATTTTGTCTTCTGGGCTCAAATAACCATGTAATTACTCTGTAATCATATAGTAATTAGCATGTACTATATGCATTTATTACATAATTATATTCCTGCAGGATTGCACAGCAATTATACTTGCATTCAGCATATCATTTTATATACTGTGTCATGAACAAGTGTATAATTTGTTGCTTTATTTCTTTTATCAGTTTACCAACCAGGAGCTGGAAACTTCCTCTCCTGTTGCCTTGTTTGCACTTAGTCAGGCAGGGGCCTGAGCCCCTTTGGCCTCACTTAATACCTCCTAATTACACATCTAAGATAATACTAGGCCCTGGCGTGCTGCTGTGGACTCACGGCATTTGCACTGCTAACACTTTCTCTTTGTCACGAAGTCACTAAGTTATTAGCTTTCAAGCTCTCTGAGTCCTAGAGCTGCTGGCAGTGCCAGGTACACGGCAAGATCTCAGTGAAATAGAGTAGGTGTGCGTAGCCCCGGACGAGCACCGTGACCATGACTTTCTCTCTGCTCTTGCAGTGGAGCACATTTCCAAAGGGAACAACTGCCTAGACGCCGCCAAGGCCTGCAACCTGGATGATACCTGCAAGAAGTACAGGTCCGCCTATATCACCCCATGCACCACCAGCATGTCCAACGAGGTCTGCAACCGCCGGAAGTGCCACAAGGCCCTCCGGCAGTTCTTTGACAAAGTTCCGGCCAAGCACAGCTACGGGATGCTCTTCTGCTCCTGCCGGGATATTGCCTGCACGGAGCGCAGGCGACAGACCATTGTGCCGGTGTGCTCCTATGAGGAGAGGGAGAAGCCCAACTGTTTGAATTTGCAGGATTCCTGCAAGACGAATTACATCTGCAGGTAAGCGTGCTCCTGCAGCTGGGTGATTAATGAGGTGCAGGGAGAACCTGGGCGGCTGCTTCAGTGCCACACCCCCGCTTTCTGTGTTTCTATGGGGTGAGGGGAGAAAGCAATTCACAAGAAGGGATTGGCAAAAATGTAACTTTTGCATCTAATAACGCAGTCTAGTCAGACTCTTACTCTGGAAGAAGTTTCTCCTTAACTGAGGCATGCCTTGAGAGACTTTGGAATCAGGTGAAACACAACTCCATTGCTGAGCACCTCTCAGGTGAGTGGGTCACCTGGGATGAGGTGAGCTTAAAAACATGCGCCCACAGCTCGAGTTTTTTCCATCAGTTTTTTAAATGATTATTATCATTATTATTTTAGCAGTTTACCACCCAGGAGCTGGAAATGTGGGATTGCCAGGGATTAAGTAACTCAAGAGTTACTCGAGTTACTTCCACTCGGTCTTCTTCCTTGGTCACATCTCTGCCCCAACGGAGCCTGCAATATGACGTTGACGACATTCATTTCTTTTTTTTTTTTTCCTTGTGGCCACTTATTGATTTATTTAAATATTAAAGGGCTTCATGAACACATTCTCTGTTAAAGAAAAGAAAGAGTGAGAAGGTACCGTTTTTTCTGCTTCCCTTGAGCCTCCAAATCTCAGACAATCTCTTTTGACAATTTGGTGTGTTCTTCCAGAATTTAGAGTTGAATTCAGTTTGAAGCAGGTAGATTTTGAGAAGCAGAGACTGCGTCTTAGCTATGCTGGTGCCTCATCAGAAGAGCAGGTTGAATTCCAGGCTGGAGATTCCAATAGGACATCACATTAGACAATACCTGTACCTTGTCCCCCACATAAAAGTCAGGAGCCTTCATTTCTATCTCTGACAAAATCCTGTGCACTCGGTAAATGTTAGACAAGTGTACAGCAGATGACAGTGTGATCGCATGTGTGTTTGCTTATAGATTCCCCATTTCTAATGAGCAGAGAGCAGGAAAACACGTCTGAGAGATGAGAATTCTGGTTACCTGAGTTTCTGGTCAATTTAAGTTTTATTGTGGTAGGATGGGATTCCATTCTTTCCTTTAACCAGTTCTAATAGTGACCAAAGAAAAGTGAAAGTCCTCATTATCTACATAACTCTCTCATGTTTAAGATTTCTGGCAGCAAAGTTGGAAGCAGGTGACTCTCTCTATGAGGAAGGATGCAGATAACCAAACATCCTATGAATAGTATTTGCATCTTTGGGAGGAGTCAGGTGTTCAAACAATGCAAGTCTAAGTATTCATCCTCACTTCCAAGCCCCTGGTCTATTGAGACTCTCAGCCCTGGACTAGGAGCAGGAATAGGTGTGCTAGAAGGGTCCTGAGGAAGAGGCACTGCGGGGTAAGCCAATTAGTCAAGGAGTCAAAAAATCCCCTGCTGAAAACGAACGTGGCTGAAGTACAAGACGGGTAAACTGTAGGAGCTTTGCTTAAAATGCGGGGATGGGAGGGACCAAAGGTTCTGAAGAATCTTCCTCTAATAACTCCTGAATCTGAACCCCAAGTTCCTGGGCCACTTTAGCCTTTGGTCAGAAAGAGTACCCCTTTCAGGAGCACGGAATCAGTAGGTTTAAAGCCAGACAGGTTCTCCCTGTTTTTCAGTAAGATGATGACCTGTCTGCTGGTGGGTCCAAGCCAAGGGGCCTGGACTTCCTCCAGCTGGGAAGCTGTACCGGGCAGAAACGGAGCAGTGGATGAGCTCTCCGTCCATGGATCAGTGGCTGACAGGTGGAGCCGTAGTGGTGATGGCGCCTTTGCCTTCTCTTCTCTGCACGAGTTTATCGTACACAGGTCCAGAGAAGGCCTGTGACCCCTGCTACATAGATTGAAAGCCTGCATGATTCCTTTGCACTCTCTGGTCTGCTCTTCTAAAAGGAGAGTCCGTGGAGGACTGCTGTGAATTTACTGAATGAGATTACTCTCCTCTTAAGCTGTAGTGAGAATAGCTGGGAATGTGGGGACTTGGAGAGCTGTGGGGGAGGTGACAGGAGGAACTTGTTGATAACAGGGTGTTTGGGTGCCATCTGTGGGCTCAGACAGACATGATGAGAAGAACAAGTTCTAGGAACTGTGTAAGATGCCCCTGATAGGAGGCAGGGGGCCCAGCTGATGTAGTAGAAATGTACAAGGGGCGGCAGGACAGCCCTCGCCACGTGACTGACTGTGCCTGATCATCCCACAGTCACATGGCGTGGGCAAGAGCCACCACACAGTGGGTTGCAGGCTCGCGGGGCTGGACGGCACACCTGGACGCAGTGCTCGTATTGCTGGCGCATTGAGTTGAACTCAGAGGCGCCTTTGAAAATCCAAATCTTGACTTTTCAGGGGCCAAAGCAGGTGAAATGCATCTCGCTGTGAATGATGGGCTTTCAATCCCGTCTTGAGTGTTTTCCGGGGAAGGTGAATCAGTGACTTCCCCTGGCGTTACCTCTGTTGAGTTATTTAGCCTGTAATTTCTTCCTTGTGCCTGGACTTATTGCTCATGATTAGATGTGGTGAATTGTCATTTGAGCGGCTAGACTGGCTAACCATGTTTTCTTTCATCAGGTGTTATTAATCTTGTCTTTAATTGGATACGTTTTATTTCATCCCTTCTCCCTCCATCTTGGGGAAGCCGTTGTTGTTCCTACCTGGAGGAGCAGCTGGTACTAGCTGGCGCCGGGGGACTGTGTGGGTACCAGTTGTTTTAGCTGCTCCAACCCTCACCCCTTCTCTGTTGTGATGGCTTAAGGCCTCATTTGAATATACCCAAAGGGAAGGAATGACAAAAGAGAAAATTACTTCCTAAAAACCATAATCTTGGAAAGCTCACCCTTTCAAATGCTCCATTTCCATCTTAACAACAGTGACTATCAAAGAGCTGCTGAAGCTCATTAAAACTACCCTGCACTTAATGTTTTCCAACTCAAGGCCTACAGGTTTCCTTCCCCTGGGTCTGATGGTGCCTCTGCACAAAACCTGTCTGTCTTCTGCCTTCTATCTTCAAACAGATGAGAAGCAACTTGAGCTTTTCCTTTTGACTTTGTTTTCCTTTTCGTTTTTCGGGAAGCTGACAAGTTCCTTTCCTCATGGGGTGGTTGGGGAGGGCAAGAGCTTGACTGTGTAGGCCTCCAAGCTTGTCTACAGAAGAGCAAACGCGCAGGCATTATTAGCAGGGTGTGATGAAACTTAAAAGCCCCACATTCTTCCCTCCAGCAGTGTCTCCCCTGCCAGTTTTCCTCTGGTTGCTTTCCTTTGTGACTGGAAGGATGTCAGGACTGGGTTTGGCCGATATGGAAGCACATCCGTTTATTTCTGATGCAAATTGTCAAATATACATTATTTAAACTTACGCCTCAGCTTCCTTCTTTCAAACTCTGACATTTGGAATAAGCTCAGCACTTGAGTTCTGGCTCAGGGTGCTACAAATGTGTTCTTATCGCTTTTATTATATTTTTAATTAACCATGCAGGTGCCTCACCTGTTCTTAGTCACCAGGAAGTCTAGCACCTTCCCTTTGTGCTTGCTCCTTTCGTTTTCATCTAGGAATCATACAGCTGTGCTCTAAAACCATTCTGCTTCCAACACCAAGCAAAGAAGTGCATGATGCCACAGATGGTATAGTGGTTATGTTGCTGGACTGCCACTTAGTTGACCACAGTTTGAGTCCTGGACCTGGTGGCTTAAAACTCATGCCGGGTATGTGTGCGTGCATGCCCAAAATCCCAAAGGGAAAGAAGGAGAAAGGATTGCAGCATGGCCATCCGCCCATGTGGTGATTTCTTTCTGTCTCTCTGGCAAGCACTTTATCTCCTTTAGCAGAAATCTCTATCTTAAATAAATAAATAAATAAATAAATAAATAAATAAATAAATAAATAAAAGTGCATGAAGCTACAGAGCACTCACCTACCTTATTGTTTTAGCTGCTGCTGCACGGTGTCACTGTCAAACAGCCGAGAACATGTTTGTGGTGTAGTGGGCTTGTCCTTGGCCATTCTGCACGTGTTACTGACATGCTGTATCCTTGGATGCCAGAGTATCAACTCTTAGTTCACATTCTGTATGCCCCCGTTGTTTCTGGAAGCATGATGGTTTTGTTCACTAGCTGGGTCCTACGGCTAGTCAGAGTCAGCCCTGCACTTTGAACTCCAGTAGCCCATGCTCTCCCCTTCCCAGCAGTGTGTTCCCAAGTGGAATTGAGTGTAGTATTTGCATTCTTTCTTGCCCGGGGTGCCAGGTCAAGGGTGTATCTCACTCCTTATAGAAAGATTCCGATCACGCTGCCCTCTTTCCCCAAGGCTTTCCTGGCCCTGCTGGAGATAGCCTCCTCCCTCCTGGTGTCCAGATCTGTGTCCTCATAGACTGAAGATAGCCTCCCCCCTCCTGGTGTCCAGATCTGTGTCCTCATAGTCTCCAAGAATGGTGGCTTTCATCATGTCATGAAGGGTATGGTTCTGCCTTTCCCAAGGACTGAGGATTCTCTTCTACCCTGAAGGCCTGGGGGATTTTTAGCAGAATCAAGATGGTCTCCCTTGGTGCAGTTCAAGGAGAAGAGCATGTGCAGTTTCCAAAATTTTGCCCTGGCAAAATTGGCACCACCTCTGTCACGCTGGGGGAGGCCCATTATACTCTGAGGAAACGTACTGTTAACGTGCCGACTCGGGTAATTGAGGAAACATGTCACAAAACCATGCAGCACATTTCTGCTCCAGCAACTTATTTGGTCTGACAGTGTTAGTGCACCTTTTAAAAGGTGAAAAATGTGTTTCATTTGTCTAGAATCGGAGCCCTTCTGCAAAGTAAACTGTGGCTCTTAGAGATCAAGGATATCTTTCTACCGCTTGGGCTTAAATTCTGAGTCAAAAACTGGATTCTACATCACTGTATCTGGGCCTGTCTTGACATGAGGCAAGTACAGGAAAAAATGGCTTAGAGGATAATTAATGCCTAAAACTAGATGGGTAGATTAATTTGGCACTTAATTTT